ATAAGAGCTGTATTTCTTCTTAAGCTTTGCAAGTGAGAACAGCAGATTGGAAGGCACTGTCCAGCAGCCAAGCGAGAGCATTGAAGCCCTTCCGAGAGCCCTGCAAGCCTCTACCTCAGTAAGCTGGTCCTAAATTTGCCTTTTTGTGACTCTTGGGCCTAGTTGCCTATTTCTGTGGGGCAATTGTCAGATGAAGTTTTCCTGGAGAGCCTGGGGAGCTCAGTTTCTGCCTTCTCCTCAGCAGAGGCTGCTCAGAAAGCAGCCTGGTCCTTTCCCCAGCTGCTACAAAAGCCCTGAGGGTATTTGGTGTGCTGGACACTGGAGGAATTCTTAGATTCTAAATGAGGAGTTTCATCATGAGCTCCAAGGGACCCAGAAGTATTGTTGCCAGAAGTGTCTCCCAAATTCTTAAGTAGGTGTAAAGTTTCTTCTTTCTGTCGGGGAATCTTTCAAGTGTTTCCTAGGCTGGTTTCCAGTAGATGATAAATACAGTTGCCATGGCCACCCCCTTGAGAGGTTTTCCCAGAATTCACTGCCTTTAGATCACGCTGAGTTTCCTTTTCTTTTTTTTCTCTGTGCACAGGGTGGTGAACTTTCCCAGCAGCTGGACATGGAGCCTGGAACAGGCATGCAGCTCGAGGCCCCAAACCAGGCTTTGCAAGAAGAGCTGTCCACTCTGCTTGGGAAGTGTGAACAACTGGAGAAGAGCAAATGTCAGCTGCAAGAAGAGGTGACAAAACTCCACCACCATTTGGAGACTTTGGAGCTGGATGGCAGCCAAAGAGAACAGTGTACAAGAGAGGTGGCAGAAGGAGCTGACCAGGAAAGAAGTCCAAAGCCACAAGAGGTCAGCCTCGTTTTGCAAGTAAGTGAATTTCTCCCCAGTGTCCACAGGCTCTTCATTAGGAGCTTTGAAGCAGAGTGCTCATTTGGGCTTCTTTCCCAATGCAAAGAATTGTTTGCCCTGGCAGCTCCTGGGTTCTGCCTTGGTTGCTGCTGGGAGTGAGGAGGCAGAGCCGCCTCTCTGAGTAAGGCTGGGCCCTTGAAAGTGGGTGTGTGCAATTTTGTGCTGGGCAGAGTTCTCTTTTTCTTGTGGTGGTTGAAGGTGCACTGTCTCCTTCAGGCACAGGCAGCCCACCAGGCCCCACTAGGACAAATTGAAGACAGTCATTGTGAATCCATGAGAATCCAGTTGGAAGAAAGGATTAGAAATCTGGAAAGGGAATTGGAGAGGGTCAAAAAAACCCAACAAGAGAGTGCTTCTCGTAAAGAAGCAACACAGGGAGAGATGGGGATGTACAAAAGAGCTGTATCTGGAGGAAGTGAAAACCAGAAAATGCCTTGCCAAGAAACTGGAAAGGTAAGTCCATGCTTGTTTGGAGTGGTAATAAGAGACTCCTTTTTCTTCCTGCATTTTCCTTGGAAATCCATCTTCTCCATCTGGCCAGCATTATTGCCCTCCATTGGCCAACAGGGTCTGATGGAGTTGCCAAGACCCTCTCCTTGATATTTGAAAAGTCGTGGCAGTCAGGGGAAGTCCCAGGTGAGGGGAAAAAGGGAAACCCACTGTGCCCATCTTTGGAAGGGGTAGAAAGGAGGGCCCTGGGAACTGCCAACGTGTCAGCCTGCCCTCTGTGCCTGGGGAGGTGATGGAAAAGATCCTTCTAGAAGCTCTGTCAAGGCACATGGATGACAGGGAGGTGATTGGAAGCACCAGCACAGCTTCGCCAAGGGCAAGTGCTGCTTGACCGACCTGGTGGCCTTCTAGGATGGAGTGACTGCCTCAGTGGACAAGGGCTACCCATGTCATCTCCCTGTCATTCTGGAAAGCCTTTGACACAGTCCCCCACAACATCCTTCTCTCCAAAGTGGAGAGAGAAGGATTCAATGTGTGGACTGTTAGATGGATAAGAAATTGGGTGAACAGTGCCATGCAGAGGTGGTGATCAATGGCTCAGAGTGCTGAGGGCCATCAGTGCCGAGTGGTGTCCCTGAGGGGTCTGGATTGGGTCCAGTGTTCTTTAATGTCTTCACTAATGATCCAGAGGAAGGGCTGGAGTGCGCCCTCAGCAAATTTGCAGCTGACACCAAGCTGAGGGGTGTGGTTGACACAGCTGATGCCACCCAGAGGGCCCTGGACCAGCTGGAGAAGTGGGCCCATGGCAATCTGCTGATGGTTTAACCAGAGCCAGTGCAAGCTGCTGGCCGTGGCTCAGGGCAGCCCCTGTATCAGTGCAGGCTGGGGGATGAAGAGGGGCAGAGCAGCCCTGCCGAGAAGCCCTTGGGCTGGAGGAGAGGCCGGACATGAGCCGGCGATGTGCGCTCGCAGCCCAGAGAGCCAATTGTGTCCTGGGCTGCGTCCAAGGCAGCGTGGCCAGCGGGTGGAGGGAGGGCATTCTGCCTCTCTGCTCTGCCCTTGGGAGAGCCCAGCTGGAGGGCTGCATCCAGCTCTGGGCTCCTCAGCACAGCAAGGACCTCCAGCTGTTGGACTGAGTCCAGAGGAGGCCACCAAGGTGCTTGGAAAGATGGAGCACCTCTGCTAGGAGGAAAGGCTGGGACAATTGCAACCCTTCAGCCTGGCAAAGAGAAGGCTTTGGGGTGACCTAATTGTGGCCTTTTGGGGTGTGAAGGGAGCCCACAAGAAGGATGAAGAGAGTGCATTTAAAAGAGCAGGTAGTGAGAGGACAAGGGGGAATGGCTTCAAATGGAAAGAGAATAGGTTTAGATTTGATCCTAGGAAGAAATTGGTTGCTGTGAGGGTGGTGAGGAACTGCAACAGGTTGCCCAGAGAAGCTGTGGATGCCCCATGGCTGGAAGTGTTCAAGGCCAGGTTGGATGGGGTTGTGAACAAGCTGGTCTGGTGGAAGGTGTCCCTGCCCAGAGCAGGAGGCTTGGAACTGGATGATCTTTAAGATTCCTGCCAAGCCAAGCCATTCTAGGCTTGGATGCTGTCTGTGCTGTTTCTGTGAGACTGTGGGGGAAAGGCTGGTTCTTCCTGTGTTTCATGGTTTTCGTCACTAATTTGCTGTGCAGGCTGGAAAAGCTTCTGAGGATAGAGAGGAGGAAACTCCGGGTTAATGAAGAGAAAGGAAGTCAGTCCCAGCTGGAAGAAATGAAGAAGAGATATTCTGAAAAGGTCAAGGAAGTTGATGGATTCCAAAGAGAGGTGAGCTGCGCTCTGGGTGGGGCTCTTTGGTTGTGGTGTTCCTTCTTTTGAAAGCTGGGAGATGCTTTCCCTCTATTTCTTGTCATGCTGATGATTTTTTTTTTCCCCTTGGCTGCATTTTGGATGTGATGGGCTTTTCTTAATGCTCCTCCTGCTGTTCCAGTGGGAGATGACTCGAACTAATCCAGAGGTAGTTCTCCTTCTGGGGAAAGATGCAAATGTTGAGGGCAAAGCAGTAGGTGTAAGGGCTGATGGAGGCCAGGCTGTCCTGCAGAGGAGGGGCAAGCCAGGAGTGGCAGCCAGCCTGGCAGGGTGCGTGAGCTCCCGGGCCAGGGAGCCGTCCCACAGGCCCAGAGCAAGAAGAGCAGAACAGGTCCTGTGAGAGTGAGCGGGGTCAGCCAAGAGTGCAGATCCCCCGGCTGGGCCTGAGGGATGGGCAGGTCTGCCGTCCTGGCAGGACATCACGTGCATGGGCTGAGAGCAGTGGGGCCCAGCTCAGGCCTGGCTGCAGCTGGAGGGAGGCTGTGACAGCGTCCTCTGGGTGTGCCAGATGAATTGCTGCCCTGGCAGAGAGGGGAGGAACAGCGCTGTCACTGGCAGGGCACCATCAGCCCCTGAGCCCTGTCTCAGGCACGAGCTGAGCAGGAGGCCCTTGAGGTTTGGCTTTTCTCCACAGTGTTGTTGCTGCCCAGGGCCCAAGGAGGACAGGGGCCTCCCAGGGGAAAATCTGTCCCTTCTTGCTCACGGGGAGCTGTTTCAGCCCATCCTGTGGCGGGGAGCCAGAAGGGCTGTTCCAAGCAGTGCTTTTGAGGCTGCTGTGCCTGTGCAGCAGTGGCACAGAACCTCTCATCCCTTCTCCGCTCGTCACTCGGATCCGTTGCTGAAGCGGTGTCTGTCAGAGTCACGCTTGGGTTTGAAGGCATCCCTGTAGAATGGCTTCCTGCCTTTGCAGTCATTCCTTTGGAGTCCAGAAGCGTGGAGCATTTTTGCATGAGGAACTCCAAAAGGCTGGGAAGCTGAGGAATCCTATGGCAAATGATGGGAAAGCTGTTCTTGCTGGAAAAGAAAAGCCTGGTTGCACTTTGTGTCTAGTCCTGAGCCAGCAGATGATGAATAAAGTCTCCCTGGGCGGCCAGTTTTGGATTTTCCCAGAATTCACTGCCTTTACACCACGCTGAGCTCCTTTTTTTATTTTCTGTCTGCAGGTTGCTGAACTTTCCCAGCAGTTGGACAGGGAACGTGAACAGTGCACGCAGCTGGAGGCCAAAAATCAGGCTTTGCAAGAAGAGCTGTCTGCCCTGCGTGGGGAGTGCGAGAACCTGGCCCTGGACAAATGCCAGCTGCAAGAAGAGCTGGCAAAACTCCACCATCATTTGGAGACCAACGTGGTGGATCGCAGCCAACTCGAACAGTGCAAAAGAGAGGTGGAAGAACAAGCAGACCAGGAAATAAGACAAAAACTCCAAGAAGTCAATGAGTTTTTGCAAGTAAGTGAATTTCTCCCCAGTGTCCACAGGCACTTCCTAAACTTCTCTTGTGGCCATGGTGTTTGGTCTTTTTCTTTTGCTCCTGTATTCTGTGGGTTAGCTTCTGTCTTTGCTGAAGGCAGTGGCAGAAGGCAATCTGGTTGGGCAGGAGTGCTGTCATGGGTGTGGAATGTGCCGGCAGGTCCCTGAATGCAAAGGCTGCCCAAGGCAGATTCCCACTTTGCAGTGCTTGGGGGGATCTCTGTGCGCTGCTCTGCTTCTCACTGCTCATCCTTGGATGGGTTTGGCAACTTGCAGCTGTCATGGCCAGACCTACAGGTGCTGCTTTGTCCTTGTAGGGGGTGAAAGTGCTCAGAAAAGGAGTCACTGAAATTCCAGGGATGGGAGGGAGGGGGTGGAGGTGGAAACTCTTCTTGTCTTTGAAGAATCCCTTTGGACATGCCCTGTCCTACAGACCCAGTGTCTCTTCATTAGTAGCTTTGAAGCAGAGTGCTCATTTGGGCTTCTTTCCCACTGCAAAGAATTGTTTGCCCTGGCAGCTCCTGGGTTCTGCCTTGGTTGCTGCTGGGAGTGAGGAGGCAGAGCCGCCTCTCTGAGTAAGGCTGGGTCCTTGAAAGTGGGTGTGTGCAATTTTGTGCTGGGCAGAGCTCTCTTTTTCTTGTGGTGGTTGAAGGTGCACTGTCTCCTTCAGGCACAGGCAGCCCACCAGGACACCTTAGAAGAAATCAGAAGCAGTCATGTGGACTCACTGAAAAAACAGTTAGAAGACAGAATTAGAGATCTGGAACGTGCACTGGGAAGGACAAAAAGCAACCAAGCAGAAAGACCTTTTCAAAAGGAATCCACCCAGGCAGAAGTGGACAAGTACAAAGAGCTGTATCTGGTGGAAGCCCAAAGAAGAAAAAGCTTCGCCAAGAAACTGGAAAGGTAAGTCCCTGCTTATTTGGACTGGGAATAACAGACTCCTTTTTCCTCCTGCATTTTCCTTGGAAATCCCTTTTCTACATCTGACCAGTGTCAGGTGTGACAGCAGAACGTGGCATCTTTGTGGGGAAAGTTCCTTCAGAGCCTTCCCTTCCTCAGACCTGTCTTCCTTTCTCTTTAGAGTTCCAGCAGTAACCCCACAGCAGCACCACTCTGGCATTATTGGTGTCTTTTCAAGTTGAGGTTGTTTTAGCAGGCAGTCTTTTTGCCAGTCTCTACTCTCCTCATCCTGTGGGTGACAGAGAAGATGAATCTTGTGCCCTTTCCTGTTTGAATAAGGAGAGGCCTCTGGGAGAAGAGAGTTGGATTCTGTGAATCCAAAATAAGGCGACTCTTTCTTGGCTTCTGTTTTGGCAGCGGGTCTGAGGGTTGAGCTTTCCTTGAGAAGGCCAGGGTAGCCCAGAGTTCTTCTGGAGGTGCCACTGGCTGCTCCTTGCACTTGGTGTGATTTCTTAGAAACAGGCCCTGTGAACAAGCTCAGATCAAAGGATGTGCTGGTTTTGGATGCTCTTCATGCCCTTGGCTTTTAGAAGTCGAGTAGTAGCCAAGGCTGTGGAGGGTAACTTTGCAAAAGCCTTCCTGCCAAAGATGACTCTGTGTGTGCTTGTGAATGTTTCAGAGCTACTGAGAGACTTGCAGTAGCCAACACCAAGCTCTTTTTGGAGCGCCACAGAAGCAGATCTGTGGTCACAAGCAGCGCTGTCAGCGGAGTTCTGGCTGCAAGTCCACTTCTGGATTCACCTGGCCTGGGACATGTTGGCATCAGTTTGGGACTGAGCAGAAGTCTGGCTCTCAGAACACCACCCAGACACCTGTGGTAAAGCCCAAGACTTCTGCTCATCAGGTTTGTCCAGATTTTCCAGAGTGGTCAAAAAAGATTGAAATGGAAGCAATGAGCTGTGGAACTCCATTCTTTCCCAAGAGAAACTGTGGGCAAGAGCACTGTGGCACAGGAACCTCCCACCTAAGTTCTACCCTAAATTTACACGTAGTAATCTTCTGTAGTCTGTGGGGTTTGGCAGGAAGCCAACTCCAACCGGCTACAGATGGTTTTGGTGTCAGAAGTGGGATTGTTTTGGTTCCTTTGGTTTTGTTGTGGGAACATTGTCTGGGAAAGCTGCCAAGAGCAGGTTTGTTTTGTCAACATCCCCCATTGTTTTGGGACACTCCTGGGAGAGCTGCCAAGAAGGATTTTGTTTATCTAAACATAGCTTTGTTTAGGAAGAAGGAGAAAGAAAAATAATAACAATGGCCTTTTTACTAATTTTTTTCCTGATTCTTGCTGTTTTTGTGCCTGTCCTAGGACATCCTGTGAGGGACCGTTCAGATGGATGGAATGAATTGCTTCCTTTCCTTAATTTCGACACCCACGGCCTAGTAGCCAGTTTCCTTGATGGTGGCCTTCAAGGTTTGGTAGCAAAGACTCCAAGATCAGCTCTAACCCATCCCTACATTGCTCAGTGACAATGATCCTAGTGGTGAAGGCAGCGAAACTGCTACTTAAAATTGGAGAGGTGGTGCTGCATTGGTCCCCTTGTTGTACGAAAGGAATCGCTGGAGCTTTGGGGACAAGAAGTGCCAACGGCCACGACAACTGTACACAGGCAACAGTATCGGAGGAACCGAGATGCTGTGACCCCCATCCATCCATCCAGTACATCCATGACATCATTGTGGGGGGGACACAGCAGAAGAAGTTTTCGAGAAAGGACAGAAGATCATCCAGATTCTCCTCGAGGCCGGTTTTGCCATCAAGAAGAGTAAGGTCAAGGGCCCTGCCCAAGAGATCCAGTTCCTAGGGCTGAAATGGCAAATGGACGACACCAGATACCAACAGACGTCCTCAACAAGATTGTAGCAATGGCTCCACCCACAAACAAGAAAGAAACCCAAGCTTTTCTGGGAGCCATTGGCTTCTGGAGGATGCACATCCCAGAGTACAGCCAGATGGTGAGCCCTCTTTACTTTGTGACCCGTAAAAAGAACAATTTCCAGTGGGGTCCTGAACAACAACAAGCTTTCAGGCAGATCAAGCAAGAGATTGCACATGCCGTGGCTCTTGGAGCTGTCAGGACAGGACCAGAGGTAAAGAATGTGCTCTACTCTGCAGCTGGAGATAAAGGTCCCTCCTGGAGCCTCTGGCCAAAGGTGCCTGATGAGACGTGAGGGCGACCACTGGGTTTCTGGAGCCGAAGCTACAGAGGTTCTGAGGCCAATTCCACCCCTGAGGAGAAGGAAATCTTAGCAGCCTATGAAGGCATACGAGCAGCTGCAGAGGTAATTGGTCCCAAAGCACAGCTCTTCTTGGCACCCCAGATGGGACCCCATCATGCAAAGTGTAACTGGTTAAGGGAAAAAGGGGGTAGGGTTTATCCATTTTAGGGAAAGGGTGGCCAAAAAAGGAAATACTGCAATGCAGCAAACTTTGACCAATCGGGGAGCGGGGTCTAAGGATACAGACATCAAGGGGATTTTTCATCAAACAATTTCAGGGGACAAACAAGGGAAAAACTACAGTAAATGTTTAGACACAACCGTAAAACTGGAAAGGCTTTGGGTCTGAACTTCTTGACAGCTTCATCCAGGGCTTTCATCCTCTGGAGGGTCACACATTTCTTGTTGTCTTCTCCAGCTTTCAGATTCAGCAATGTCCTCACTCCCGACAGACCAGGGTCCCCTTTCCAGAGTAATGGAGGAGCACCGGGATTTTTTAATCCAAAATTCCCGGATTGGAATGAAATGCTCTGGAAAGGCTCTGGAAATCATTGGGTGTTCACAGTGAGTCTCTGGTTTCCCATCCCCTGCTTCAGATGTGAAAACATGTTCCTTGCAGTCGGAATGTAAACTCATCAACTCCATTAAACTTGAGCACTATATCCCATCATCCAGATCATCAATGAAGATGTTCAGATTTCAACCAGCCTGCTGTCTGCTCATCCAGCCCATACTTCATGGGCTTCTCTGTGAGGGAGCCCTGTCTGTGTCCACTAGTACACACATTCATTTTGATTTTAAACAATCAAACAGAAGGGAGTGTTTTAACAGCAGAATTATTTTTCAAAGGGAAATAGAAGGGTAAGAGTTTTTAATTTTAATGATCATGTTTTACATGATACTAATTGACATCTAGTAGAAATGAGACAGCACCTTAAGAGACAAATCTACATTCTCTATTTATGCCTCTGAATTACAGGTATGGCTTTGATGGAACGAGTGCCTTCAAGCTCCATTGGCAGGCACTGTTTGAAAACTATTTGGGTGATTTTTGATAAGAAATGAAAGATGCAACAGCAGGAAGCCATTCAGCAATCCCTGACAAGGGAGGTCCACTGTCAATTGCTGGGAGGGCCCCCACCTGTTTCTTTTAATGGTGCTCCCAAATCCCACCTCTTGGGCCTCCCATCCCATCCTTTTTGGTCCCTTCAGGCATCTCCTCCCCAGGATCTGCTCTGTGTCCTACCCAGGGTCCCCAAACATCCTCCCACTGATCATTCCCAAAGCTTTTCTTTCCAGACCTTTGCCTTTCACCCAGGCCACTGCCCTGGTACCTCCCAAGACCATTCCTTGCCTCACTCTCCACTCCCAACCATCTCCCAGTGCCCTCGTTTTTGTCCTCCTCCATCATCCTCCTCCTGTCCCCACCAAGCCTCTCCCTTGCAGTGCCCATGTCCCCACACTTGAATTCCTTTCCCCTCCCCTGCATCCCACACAGGGCCCCTTCAACACCCCAATCCCAGTCCCGTGGGCTCCCCAGTTCCCCCCAGTTCAGCATCTTTAGGTCCCCCCCAACCTCCTCCCCCCCTCCCTGCAGGCCCTGAATTCCCCTGGCTCTCCTTGTCTCCATCCCCACCCTGGGCCCTGCAGGCACAGGGGTTGGAGGTGAAACTGGGGGCAGTGGGAGCGGGGGGAGCAGAAGGGATTTTCCCCCTCAGATGGGTGGCAGCCCTGGGCTGGGGGGTCTGGGGACCCCCGTGTCCCTCCCCCAGCCCCACAGGGGCCAATCCTGCTTAAACCTTTGCTCTCCTTGCCCAGGCACTCTTGGCAGGAACCCAAAATGATCTGTGGGATGTGAGTGGGCCGGGGGGACTGGAGGGCATCCAGTCTGGGAACTGGGGGACACTTTGGGCCCCCCATCCCTCGCTGGCACCGGGGACATCCCAGTGACCAGCCAGGGCTCCTGGTCTCTCTCCAGCTGCATTTAGTGGACGTTGGGATCCTGAAGATGGCTCAGGTGGGTACCAGGAGTTCTGCCTGGGTCGGGTCCTCCCCTCACATGGCCATGACACTTCTGGCCATCCCAGTCTGCCCCAGTATACCCCAGTGCACCTTCCCCAAGGATCCCATTTCTTCCCCCAGGCTCCCAATACATCCCACTACACCCAGTGTGTCTCTGAGCCTGTCTTTGTCCCCAACCCCCTGTGGTGGAGAAGGTGGTGGGTCCTGTTGGTGAGATGTGGCTGCATCCCTGGATGGCTGAGGTGAGCAGTGCCTGCAGGGAGAGGGGTCAGGACAAGGCCCCTCTCATGTTGCAGTGGACTTTGGGGGTGACGTTTGGGGCTCTGTCTTTCAGGCCTGGTGGTGACACCCGTGCCCTGTCCCCCTCCAGTGGCATGAGGAGATGATCATCCCTGGAAGAACCCCCTGCTTTCCCTCAGAGCCCAGGGGCATTTTCCTTGAATGATCAATAAATCCCTTCAGCAAAGCTACTCTGCTTGACCTTGTGTGTGTGTGTTCCCATCTCCATGTGTGTGTTCCCATCTCCATATGTGTGTTCCCATCTCCATGTGTGTGTTCCCATCTCCATGTGTGTGTTCCCATCTCTCTGTGTGTGTTCCCAACTCCATGGGTGTGTTCCCAACTCCATGTGTGTTCCCATCTCCATGTGTGTGTTCCCAACTCCATATGTGTGTTCCCATCTCCATGGGTGTGTTCCCATCTCCATGGGTGTGTTCCCATCTCCGTGCCTGCATTCCCATGTCCCTGTCCCCTCCTTCTCCAACCCCTGCACACCCGGTGCCTCTCTGGCCGCTCCCCTGCCATGAGCAGAGAGGCTCAGGGGGCTCCTGGGGGTCTCTGCACATGAGATCCCCTTCACCCCCTCCATGTGCATCCTGAGCAGTGCAGGTTGGGGCATCGTGGAATGTCCCTGCTGGGGGCTGGGACAGGCAGGGGGCACACGGGGCAGCCCCTGGAGCACCTGGACCTCCCCTGTGCTCTGGGAGGGATGGGAAAGGGGATCAAAGAGCCAGCGGGTGTCAAATGCCCCCAGATCTCAAGGACCAGGCTCGGGGCTGAAGGGATGGAGAGCAGCCCTGCATCCAAGGCCATGGGGATAGTGGGGGATGAAAAGCAGGATGGGAGCCAGCAATGGGAGCTCACAGCCCACAACCCCCCGTGTCCTGGGCTCATCCCACAGCGTGGGCAGCAGGGCAGGGGGGTTCTGCACCTCTGCTCCTCTCAGCTGAGACCCCTCCTGCAGTGCTGCCTCCAGCTCTGGGGCTGCCTCAGGGTGTGGTTTTCTGTTGAGGAGGAAAAGGCAGGACTGAGTCAGGTCAGACTCTATTAGCAAAACGTGTCTCTTTTTAGGAAGACCTCTCTGCATCCCCCTCCCCTGAGCTCTGGGTTTTGCTGGCTGATGGGGGCTTTGAGAGCAGGGACCCTGTGACAGGCTCCCGAGGAATCCTCCTTGCTGTGAGAGGCAGCTCAGGACACGGGGTGATCCGAGATTAAATGTGCCTGTGACACATCAAAGCATTTCCAGCCCTGCTGTTCACAGTTTGCCCAACTGCAGAGCAGAGCTGAGGGGATTTGCTGTAGTTTAACTTGTTACAGTTTCACTTGGCACATTTAGAAGTAAATTTGGATGGCTGAAATCCCTGACATTTCTAATGTTCTCCAAGTGAAATCTCGTGGGTCCTGGGAGGCAAAGGGATGGTCTCAGTGCAGAGAGAAGAACTACGCTGGCCATCACTCCTGTTCTCAGCCGCCCCTTGCTGGCAGCTTGGAGCTGAGGGAGGATCACACTAAGGAGCTCCCTTAAAAAGAGACAGGGCCTTTCTGGGAGCAGAGGAATCTGGGCTCAAAGGGCAGATTTACAGACTCCTTGTCTTTTCTCAGGGTGCCTGATTAGGATCTCCTCTTTCTTCTCCCAGACTGCTGCACAGAGGGATCATTGCAGCTGCCCAGAGCATTTCTATGGCTCTACCACCGAGGTGTCCTCTCCATGGGGATCCCAGACAGCACAGAGATACTATGGCAGAGCTGTGCCCTTCTGGAGGACACCCTGCAGGACACCCGGGGAAGCAGCTGAATGTCCTGAAGTTGCCTGGAGGGCACTTGGGCATTTTGCTCCCACAGACACATCCCCACAGCAGCACCCAAAGGGTTTGTGTCTGGACAGGAACCTGCCACCCCAAAGCCCCTGCACTGCCTGAGAAAAGCCAATGGGGAGAAGAAGAACAGCCCAGACAACAGGGGATGGCAGGGAAATGCCACAATGCTGCTGCCAAGGGAGGAGGGACACACAGAGAGAGATGGAAATGGGGGCCTTGTCCTTGCCTGGGCTCTGGCTGCTGCAGGGCAATGCACAGCCCAGGGGCCATGGCCTGAGGGCACAGGCTCTGCTTAGGCTGGGAAAGGAGCCCAGGGAGGAGCTGCTCAGGGAAGGGGTCTGTGCCACAGGGACAGCAGGGAGGGGCCCACATCCCCCTGCCCAGCACTTGTGGCAGCAGCTCCCTGTCCCTGCCTGCCTGTCTCTGGGTGAGGAGCTGTTCCTGCCAGCAGCCCCTCCCTGTGCCCAGCTCAGCTCCCTGCCAGTGCTGCCAGAGCCATCCCCAGCCCAGTGCCCAGGGGCAGCTCTGCCTGGGCAGGGGCTGCAGAGCAGATCCCAGAGCCCTGCGGTGGCTGGGAAGGGGGAGGTGTTCTGGGGGGATGTGCTTCCTGAGAAGGGCCCCTGGAAATGGAGGAGGTGGAGCTGAAGCTGTGAGGAGCCCTGACCCTGCAGCTGAAGGGCCCTGCCCAGCTCTGCCCTGCCCTGCCCTGCCCTGAGGGGTCACTCCTTCCACCCACCCCTTCTCCCCCAGCCCCGTGGCAGCTCCTTGGCCG